AAAGGGATTCATTGTTTTGGGCTAAGCTGTAACGTTAGTGTCTTTGTATTTTCTTTTTTCCTTTCTTGAAGCTCTTTGTGACTCTTGGAAGATAAGTGTGTGTCTTCCACTTGTAAATTTTCTACTGATGAATTAATGAAAGTGTTATTGATAAAAAAAAAAATGCACTGGAGAAACAAGTGACAATGGACTCCTCAGCGTAGGTATACAAGAATATGATAAACTAAAGCTATGTTTGGTTTGAAGGAAATTGTAGGGAAAGGAAGGGAAAGATGGGGAAGTTCATACAAGGTTTGTAAAGGTTTCTCTACCTTTCCTTTCCCTACTTTTTCCTTCAAACCAAACACAGCCTAAAGAGGTTATCCACCTTAACGGTCAGATCCACCTGCGTCCAAAAAGGAAGAACCCAAATACCATTAAAAAGGAGTAGGTATTATTAACAGCACGTGGTTTCACGTAGAGCCTTGCAAATGATACATCTATGTGAAGAGACGTACATGCATCAATCTTGTTTTGCCATAAACATGCATCAATTTCGAATTGTTGTATCTTTTGGAAGTTGAGACTGATCATATCCATTTAAATCGGTCTCAACAAATACCCGAATTGTTGTATCTTGTTTTTAAATCGGTCTCAACAAATGTTTTTGCATTATACTATTAGTAAGAGATTTAAAAACAAGATTCATGGTCTAATGTTGGGACCCATCATATCCATTTGCACGTTAGCTGCTAATTGTTTACAACAATATTTGCAGGGTGTCCCATATCCAGGTTTACAAAAGCGTGATAAACCAAGGCGAGTGGATCTTTACTTTTCAAGTTGGATCATTAAGACCGGTAATAATTATCACGTACCCTTGATGCTTTCAACAGTTTCTTGGACATTTTGGTTTGGCTATAGTGATTGGTTTATATCTGAATTATAAATGCAGTGGAATCTCGCAAAGGAGATGGACAGTTGTCTGCATGTGAGGTGATACTGGTGCATTATGAGGACATGGGGATCCCTAAGGATGTAGCAAAACTGGGTGTTCGCCATGGGATGTGGGGTGCTGTTAAGAAATTACACTCAGGCATGAGAGCTTACCAGCTTGCAAGGAAATCTGGGTCATCACTATCAAGATGTGCACAGATGGCACAGATCACCACCACGATTCCTGTTAATGACAGCACCAATTCTTTAGATCCAGTATCTGTTGAAGAAGAAAGAGGTCAAACCGTGAATTTGCAGCAGCGCAAGGTGGACCATGGTTTTGACTGGAAATGGGTATTCATAGGCGGAACCGTGGCTGTGGTATGTGGACTACAGACAGGTATAATCGGGAGAGCCTTGTTACTTGGAGCAGCACGGAGGGTTGCACAGAAGTGAGTCCCTTTGTAGGTCTTACTAGTAGATCCATTTTGGCCTGGCAATCTGTTTTTTTATATTCAAAAACCATTATGCGTGCATTTTTAATGGAGGCAGACCTATGTAGTGTTGATTCTTTATATTGTTCTTGTCACTCTCTTTTCCTGGATATTAGCCCCCAAACTGGGAAAAATAAGATTATATATCTTAAACATCCAAGTAAAATGATTGCGAGGTGTTTATGGCAGCAAAGCTCTATCAGTTAGACTGAGTCGAAGTTCAACCATATCCTTTATCTGCACGTAGGCCATTTATTTTGGAAGTTCAAGGGAGTCTGATTTCCCATATTTTGGACACTCTGAATCTTCTATTCAGTGGGTTCCACCAAGAAAATTTACTGAGCCAAATGTTTGCTTGGAACACGATGCACCTATGCATTTCTGCTGCAAAATTTGATGACAGGTTCAAGTGTTTCACTAGGTTAGTCCTGCCACTGTGCACCCCTAATTGAAAGTCTGGAACTCTGGAGTGCATTGGATTGAAGTTTGTGTTTGAAATTAGTCCCGATTAGTCAATTTCTCTCTGTTTTCGAGTTTACAGCGCATGAACATATGAATCCAAGAAGAGGAGACCTGCCATGACAGATCTTAAGGAGGATATATGCTGTGGGCTCAGGACTTCGATGTCCAATGGATTGACAACATCACTTCCATGAATGCAAGGAATTTAGGTGTCTTTAGGGTTAAGTACACTGCAGTCAAATGCAGAATTCTGTTCTGAGCTGGACTGATCAGTCATTCTCCCTTTGCCTTTATTAACCAAAACATCCTTTATTGATTTGGTTATCAGTGTCTTAAATTTGCAACCTGTTCTAGCGTTCTTCACCAATATCACCGCTGACCAAGGTTCAAAGTTTTGTCATGCATTGGGGGTATTCAAGGTTCAAAATTTCATCATCCTGGCTGATACGTGTATCTATCGATACTTTGAAGTTTGAACCTTGGATGTATTAAGTGTATTATTACCATATCGTCCCTCTCTTGATATGCTAAATATTGAGCATTATATTTTTAATGTTTTTAGGGGTAGACCTTGTTAAGATCCAATTAGAAAAAACCTAAAAAGAAAAAGAAAGTGTGGTTCAAACCCCTGATACACACATGTATCAAGGTGTTTGGATACTTTGAATCATACTGCTAATCCAGTGAAACTGCAGGTTCTTGTTCTTCCCCACCCTAGAACTAGATTCCTCAATCGATTGTTGTCAATAAAGTCAACATTTGAAAGCATGTCATGAACACCTAGTTAGTAGTAACTAAGAAAAACGAGTTTTGACGGAATTCTCTTTGGAGGAAAATGAAAGCCGTCTTTGGACGAAACATATGAGTTTGAAGTTGGGATTGAAGGGATATTAATTAGATATATAACCATTTTCAGTAAAATGTCTGGAGGACAAGACAACCACAGTGAACTGATAAGAGCTTTAAAGAAAAGTCATGGCAGGCATTCATCATAATCGTACAATTACCAACTCAAGGAAATTTAAATTTTAAAGCATCGGGTGAGTACGTACCAAGTTCATCTCTCACTAATGCTCCTTTATCTTAAACATTTGTTTCTTTTGTTAAAGGTTTTCATCCGACCAAAAGGAATATGTGTGAAAGTATAAGAACCTATTTAAGAGCTCATAATTTAACAAGGGATATGACATTAAGGCTGCGTTTGGAAAGAGTGTTAGTACCGGTTCAGTACATTATTGCATTCCGGTTCACAATTGCATGCGTTTGGAAATGTTGCAAAAACACCTTTTAAGATCGATGTAAAATTGCAAACATGCCATGGCTTACATCATTATTGGGGTGAACAACTACTTCAATTTTTTCCAAGTAAAAATTGACGCTCTTCTTTCATAGAGGGAAATAGGCTATGAATTTACCCTCATCTACCAGAACGGCGGTCCAAGTAATAGCTATCTGAGATTTGAGAGTTCGAGCATCTGAGAGTCTATATGAGTGCTCGAGCATCCGGCTATGCACAAGGAGGGCATCGTAATTAATGAAGGGTGATTTGGTCCGATCTCGTAATAGGGGAACACGTTGACACAATCTGACTAATAGATGACAGCTCAGCCTAACATGATCGGTCCGCAACAGATCGAGCTTGGGTACCCAGTTACCCCGGGCTAAAGTGACCTTGGGACGAGATCGCCTCGGTACCAGATCGCAACAAGAACACCTCGATGCCAAGGCACTTTGGCACTCAATCCAGTTCGGGACTTAAAGACATCAGTTTGGGGATACCGACATGCCACTACGTGGTGATCCCGACAACCCTTTCGACGAATCCCAAACCTCACAGGATCACGCCGTGTAACAGCTAGCGTTATCTCCCCGCCTGATTCGGGTAGAATTGATGGACCTTATCAGTTGGCAACGTTATCCCCCAACTAACGCGGAAACGGATCCTATCGTGACGAAGATCCTGGAACCGATCCGCAAAACCCGCGAGGACTCAACTATATAAAGGCTCCACCCCCCGATGGTTCAAGGTACGCGTGATTTCTCTGCTCTCTAGCTCTCCTACATCCTTAAGCTATTTCAGCTCGCTACCTGTTTACTGACTTAAGCATCAGAGCGACCTCGCCGGGCTAGTCACCCCAGGTTCTCTGACATTTTTGCAGATTTAGTTCGCCGTCCGCCTAGAAGCCAGATCACCTCCAGCAGGGAGCAGCCAGATCGCACAACATCATTTGGCGCCGTCTGTGGGAAACGCTACAAAAAAGTCTTTTTCCACCTCAAATCCATGGCTTCCTCCAGCAACGCCGGACAAAACAACGAAGTGAATGTCTCCAAGGGGCAACCTCAGTTCCCGTCTGTCTGCATAGGTCAGTTCACCATACCGCTTATTGCGGCTAGGGTCCCAACGCTGACCATGCCCCAAGCGACTGCACAAGTGAACGCGCCACTCCCTCTTGTAGTTGGCGCGACATTCGCTGAACCATTTGTGGTTCCTCCTGGAGTCGGGCAATCCCAGCTTGACGACCTGGTACACTGCGTTCGGGCCATTAAGGTCCAGCAGTTCCAGCACTATTAAGAACAAGTCCTCCATCATTTCTACCAGCAACAGTACTAGCAGCAATTCCCTCCTCTACAGCAAAATCAGCAACCGGTTCCACCTCGGCACCCAGAGGTATAGAATCGATCTCGTCGGCATAACACTCACTCTCCCCGCCGAGGTGAGACCTCCCAAGTTCCTCTTCCCCTTGGGAGTCAAGTCTCGTCCCACGGTAGGAGGGACAGACAAGTCACCCCGCCCGCTTCACAGGGCAACATTGCGAACAGATCAGGAGATACTTAGCCCACCAGGGCCATGTTACCTCGGCCTTCTCATCAAGAGGGCTCACTCACAGGCAACCGGTTCGGGCCCCTAGTTGCGGACTCAAAGCAAGGCCCTTCCATTCATGGTAGCCAGCCTCAGCACCCAGAGCCACTCCGTGCCAGAACAATACCCGATCATACAGAAGTCAGCAGTACTAATGCGGAGCCGGTCAAGAAGCAGCAACGAAGGCGTCGTAAGGGATGCCAAACTACAGCTCATAGTCAGCTCACTACGCCCAGCCAGCCAGAGCAAGTAAAAGGTAAAGAAGAGGCGAGCTCGACAGCCGCTAAGACTGCTCCTCTCTTGTTCGGGTCGTCTCCTCTATCCTCCGAGCTCCTGGCGGCTTCAATGCCAAAAGATTTTAAAATGCCTCCTCTGTACAAGTACGACGGATCCTTCGATCCAAATGATCATGTAGACTCCTTCTAGTCCCAGATGCACCTAGCTGGGGTTGACGAGTCCTACATGTGCGTAGCCTTCTCCACAACATTTAAAGGAGTAGTTCGCACATGGTACAGGAACCTCGTGCTAGGGATGATCAGAAGTTGGGCGCAGTTCGTAGAGTTGTTCACCTCGCACTTCATCACCATCAAGAAGTGTTCGAGGTCCCAAGAAAGCCTCCTAAACATAGTTCAGAGAGAAGGGGAGTCAATTAGAAGCTATATCAAACGCTTCAACGACACCTGCTTGCAGATCCCCGATCTAGATCTAGTAGTGAGGCTCACGGCGGTGAAGAAATGTATAACACACAGAGAATTTAAGTGGCATGTGGTGGCCAATAAGCCAAAGGACATCATAGAATTCCTCAAGCTCACCAATCAATTTATCGGGACCAAGGAAGAGGTGAACCAAAAGACCGAGAATCCAGTAGAAAAGAGGAAAAGAGGTGACAGCGCAGGTAATGGTGGCAGCGAGCGAAGAAAGAGCAAGTCCCCAACTAGGGGAGGAAACAAGTCCGGGAGCCGATCTCCTTCACAATCTCACAGGTCAGGTCGGTGTTCCTGAACTCTGCCAGTTGAACGGACGAGCTACATACCTCTCAACGCGAAGCGAGGAGAAATCCTTATGGCAATCAAGGACTCCTCCTACGTCAAGTGGCCACCTCGGTTGAGGGGGGACCCCGCCACTAGAAACAGGAACGTGTATTGTCACTTTCACAAAGATCACGGTCATAGTACCAAAAATTGTAGAAACCTCCGCGACGAGATCGAAGAACTCATCCGTCGCGGATACCTAAAAAATTTCATACAAAAAGAAAATAAAAACCAAGCAGATCGGCAGGAGGAGCAAAGAAGAAATGCTCCCGAGTCCAGTAGTAGGCAGAATGAGCAGCAGCAGAGGTAGTTACCAGAAGAAAGGCCGATCCGCGGAGTAATCAACATGATTACTGGCGGGTCCATCATCGCGGGCTGCACCTCAACGGCAAGTAAAGCTTCAGTTCGCGAGCTAGAGCATGAAGAGTAGAATCCACCAAAGCGACCTAGGCTCGAAGGTCCCATTTACTTCACAGAAGATGATGCATGCAGGATCCAATACCCCCACAACGATGCCCTGGTGATAAAGATGAGACTGAATGATTTCGAAGTGAAGCGTATCCTAGTGGATTCGGGCAGTTCGGCCGACATTCTATTCAAGGACGTCTTCAACAAGCTCCAACTCCAAGAAAGTGATCTTAAATCGACAGATACTCCCTTGGTATGTTTTAGCGGCGAAGAGGTTAGACCTCTAGGGCGAGTCTCAGTACCCGTAGAGGTCGGCATGTGGCCCAACATTGTAAGATTCGAGCACACATTCCTAGTGGTCATGACTCCCTCCCCGTACAACGCCATAGTAGGTCGGCCCATTACCCACGCACTACGCGCGGTAGTGTCCACCTACTACTT